ATAGTCTCTCCAGCGTGTCCTGGGTCTTCCCCGGGGGCTTGATGCCGATGTGCTTTGCTTTTGTCTGTTAACCATACGTCCAATATTGTAAACAAAAAGGAAATGAAGTCTTGTGGTGTTCCTGCGTATTTACTAACCAGCAGCTGTTTGGTCGTCGGTGAAAGCAGTCCATTATGGTTGTCTCCTCCTTCCCGGTGCTACCTGGCCGGGATGTTGCTTCTCTTTCGGGGGAGCTAATCAGACAGGCTACTTGGTCAAGGTACTCGCGATTAGCCGTCTTATGCAAGCTTCTCAAGTGGACTTTCAGATTTGTGGGGGTTTTTCCCTTGAGAAGTATCCCACATATTTTGTCACCTGTTTCTACAATGCACCTGCTCTTATCTGTCTCCCTGTCATAGTCAAAGAAATTCCAGATAGGACTCTGCCGCCTTCTCTCAACTTTTGTCGTCACCATTTTTCCAGGTGACGCGGTGAGCAAAAGCCGACTGTAAACAAGAAGTGACGGACAGAGAGGTGCCGTAAGGTGCTGCCAGCTCACGTAAAACTGCTAGAGCGAAATAAATCGACTTATAAATAAATTGACAAAGACGAAAACGAAGGACATTTAGTTAGTTTTGTCAACGCACAATACAGTTATAGTTAGTTATCGTTTTTTCTTTTAATTGTAATTATTTATTTCAGTTAACGAAAATGTTTTTTCAATTCTAGTTTTCGTTATTTCGTTCGTTTTCGTTGACGATAATAACCTTGGCTAGAGACACAGGGATGACCAGCAACATCTACTGGCCACTTGGGGAACTGACGTAACAAAAGGGGCAGGATAGGGACTGTTACTGACAAACCCAGAAGGGGCTCCAGCAAGGAAAGAAAAGATGACAGATTCTGTTGATGCAGTACGTACAATTCAATTAAACTCAATTCAGTGTAATCCCGAATGGTATATGAAACTGGGAAGAAGGAAGAAAGGAAGGAAGATGATTGACATCTATATGGATGGATGGATGTGATGCGCAAATCGGCTCTGATGCCATCCGAATTCGCATGTACATATAAATCATCCGCCCCCCACACAGAATTATTTTCTCTGATTTAGAGACCCCCACCCTATCACACATTACCAGTATTTATCAGCGGGATGAATACGTAACCGTGGCGATGGCAGCATATTACACTGAATTAGTGTGGTTATAAAATAGATGGACGTCTAAAGTAAAAGTAGTTTTTTGGTAAAACAAAGACGGCAACAGGTATTTCCACAGCAGCCTGAACACAGGCTGACATCTAAATCCCTTCAAACTAAAATTCTGAAAGTCAGTGCGACTTCCGGAACGCAAACAGTTGAAAAGCTAATAATAACATTTGTCTGCTGCCCACAATAAATTAGTAATAAATGATGTGTTCAGTGGTGCAGTCAAAGGCGGGCATATTGAGGCTAATCTATTATCTCTTCAAAATAAAACACCCAAATATAACCCAATAAGAATACTAGGCCTATGTTGCATATGACATACAAAGCACTTGACTCGTTATTTCACTAAATACCCCCACGCATAATTTTTCAGCCCTTCCTTTTTTGTTTTTAATCCTCCTTATTTGATCTTTACTCAGACCTTTTTTGCCTCCATTGTGGCTCAAGATAAATGAAACGGACTTGAACGCTGACTTAAATACACAGGACTAAATGGAAATGACACGAATCAGCTGGTCACAATCGGGATTGCACACGTGGTTAATGAGGGGGCGTGGCACACAAGAGGATCGTACGAGCAGGTCATGACAATTTATGATACATATCACCCACACACAACCCATCCGCTATTAATCAGAATGTTCATTTTTATGACTAGTAGTGCCAGATCTGCCCATCACAGACAGACAGACAGACAGATAGATTTCACTGAAGACGTCCTACCATCCCCGATGACCTGTAGCTGCAGATCATTCCACTTCATTTGATGAGAGACCATGACATCCGCAAGGGGACTTCCAGCAATCAGCCAATCAGATGGAGGAATTCCACGTTACCTTCCCCACAGCTGTCCTATAACGTCGGCTGCGAGAAAATAAACAAGAGACAAATGAAAATGAAGGAACAAAGTAGTCATTACAGCTTTGTTCTGTGAAAGAGGTCTACCAGGGGTATTAGTGGATGCTAGAAATCCGAATCAGGGGTAGTTGGATGGGGAGTGAGTCTAAGCCCTGGGATTTCTGCTGGTACTCTTCCCACGCATGTGTGGCACCCCACACTGCACCCCCTCCGCAAGCTCTCCCGTGTTTAAGGGCCCCCTGCCCAGACTTGTCAGCCCACCAGGCACGCACAGGAGATCAGGTGGCCTTCTGGGTAGCTATAAACAAACAGCCCATTTTGTGCTATTATCCACTCTGTAATTATTATCATCATAATAACCATAATATACACAATAATTACAAAATGCTTTCCCTCCCCCAAAAAATGTGCATCGCTTTGGATAAAACATCTGCTAACTTATTAAAAAAAATTTTCCTGTACTCCAGTCTTATTTAGACTTCAATAGTCGTTTGCTAAGTTTTAGCATGAAATTTATGCTTTGGGATCCAGTCCAGGGTGTACCTGTGCTAACTGAGGTAGGTTTTACAGCTTTATATGTAGGTTAACATGTGTGATGTTTAGATCAGTATTTCATAATCAGTCAAGTGTAAAGAAACAAATCAACTTAAACAAAAATTGACTTACACCATGACTTCTCTGGACAATTCCAGTTCCATTGGTGCTGCTTTTCAACAGTCATGACATGATCAAACCAGCAGAGGTCACTCAAACCTTCCCCCTAGAGGCGATCAGAAAGCCATTTCTGAGCCCATTTCAGGTCCCAGCTACAAATCAATCTCCTAGACTTCTCTCTAAAATACTACAATGTGTCGATGCATTTATTTCTCTGTCCTGGACGACTTCTCAGATCAGCACCATTCAAGATACTAACCTGATCACCAGGGGCGTAGCACCAAATTCTGGGCCCTATGCACAAACTGCCCATGCCCCCCTCAAAAAAAAAAACAAAAAACAGCCTAATCACACAAGACTTCACTGGAATTTGGTTTTATTTGTAGAATGATTAAAAGCTATGACAGGCTACCTTTGGTGACATTTCCTAACATCATAGGCCTGCATGAAAACTGAACACTTTTGAAACGGCGAAACGGTTTCACCGCTGCGTTGTTCATCAAATTACCATGCAAATGCGATTTCAATACGCGGAAGTGCGGTTGTTTAGAATGTGAATAGCGATCTTCACGCGAAGGCGGTGCTACACGCCCCCCATGCAGGTAAAACAAAAAAAGGTGACATGGTTTACTTTTTGCCGACTTAACCTAATTTTAAAAACTTTAAATACCTCCGACAACGGACGTTTTGGAAGGAAGATAGATTACAGATTTAGCCAGCGTTTTTTCCATGATTCTACACGAACATTTCAGCGAGATATAAACTGAAATAGACGAGAAAGATACGCGACGCGGCATCACCGACGATGCCGTGGAACCCAGGGAGGTTAAGCAAACAAACAAAAAAAATATTTAGACTTATCTAGACTACATCATGTTAAGCTATGTGTAATTTCGCGGTGGTATTGAAGTGTTTAATAATCACAGTTCATTTAATGTAGGCTATTTGCTTTCACATTTGGGCTCACCTTTCTTGGGGAAAAAGTTTGTAAGCAGTTGCTTTCCCTCATTTTTTTTTTGTTTCTTTCCCGCCTCTTTTCTTTTTTGAAAACCGGATTTAGCTTTCTTTGGCATCATCTTCCAGCACGGATTCAGCTGATTCAGCAGAATGACCGCTAAATTAAATGCGCCTAGTTAAAAAGCCCGGTAAAGACTAAACCATCGCAAGGGGTGAGGGTGCTTGTCCTCAGGCACTGTAAGCTAGGACACAATTCAATCCGTCAACCGATTTATTTTCCCACAGAAATCACATTTACATTAGTTAGCAACATTTATTGTGATCTTTGAATAATATTAATATATTTAAAGGAAAATAAAATTCCAGATTCCTTAGCGGCCCTGCCCCCACATGAGGCCCTGGTAACTCAGTCCCCTTTTTCCCCTTACTACGACGCCCCTGCTGATCACCGTACAGAGGCGATACTCTAAACCACAGGTGTCAGACTCCAGTCCTGGAGGGCCGGAGCCCTGCACATTTTTGGGTTTCCCCTCGTTTAACACACCTGATTCAACTCCTTGTGCTAATTACCACATAGCTGTTGAGCTGAATCATTTGTGGTGGATCAGGGAAAGAACTAAGCTACACAGGGCTCCGGCCCCCCAGGACTCCAGTTTGACACCCCTGCTCTAAACCATCTCCGAAGTTCTTCATTACGCCAGAGCAACTTCCCCTCTCCTCCAACTTCACAACCCTGCAGAATTTGGCAATGACAACCACGAGATCTTCAGCTGAGTGTCACAGACACTGGCAAACGTCTTGAGAAGACTCCTTACCTAATGATCTAACCACAGGGGTCCAAAATTACCATCTACTTGAGTAACACAAGAGTGCCATCATCAAAACAACCGTACAATATTAATTTCCCAGCACAAAGTCCTTGTAGGCACATGCTGCAGACTTTAACTCTGATTTCACCTTATGCATCTGCTCCTACCTCATCAAATTACAACCACATCTCATTGACGCTAGTTGACAGAGCAAAGTCTTATCCCTTAAGTATTAAATATATGCTCATTGTAGTGCTTACATACTACATGTCTTACTGTATTTCTCACCTTTTGTTCATATAACTCCCATCCCTGACTATGTTTGTAGAATCGCATGTTGTCCTGCTGGAATGCAGATTTCCTCCTGTCGCTGTGCCCTGAAATGGATTCGCATCCCTACCATGGAATCACTGCTTCCTGTCTCCTCACTGGCACAGCATCTGCGTGTTTATGCTCTCTTGTGTTAGTCTTATGCATTTATTGCACCTGTATGCAATCTACATGTTACGTACAGATGCATTACAACCTTTGATCACAACATTCATTTCAGCCAATCACCAGCGATTTCCCTTCTCTGACCCACTGCGTCTGTTATGCACTCTACGACCCGATTGATCACAGCAAGCCCATATGTGATCCAAGCACTTTATATGTACAAATACTATAAACTAAGAAAAGGAGCGAAGCTTTTTGAGATACCATCGAGGAAGAGCGTGCTCTAAAAGGCCCTTTGAACAGCCTCACTGTGTTTGGTTTTGCTCTGAGCACAAAGGGGTCCGGTCGTATTGATGGACTTATCCTCCTCTTTGATTCTTTCTTTTGCTGGCGGGAACAGACCCTCTGGCTTCACGAGATTAGGTTTCAAAGAGCTCCGAGCAAACGGGCGGATCTCGACTCATTAGGAGGGACTGCTGAGAAAAACCTTAGGCTTATTAACACAAGTCAGAAAGCTTTGAGGGAAGGTGTTCATTTAAAATAAAAAGATGGTCCACCCATTACCAGCAAAGGTGTGAATGTACTGTGGTTAAAAGCAGAGTTTTGCAGTTTTACTCAAGTCATGGTGTGTGGCTCAGTGGGTTAGGCTGCTGTGTGCATGTGTGTGTGTGTGTGTGTGTGTATGATCAGAAGGTTGCTGGTTTGAATCCTGTGCTCGGCAGAGTAACTGCATTATTGTTGGGCCCTTAAGCAAAGCCCTGACTCCCCCCCTCCCCCAAGGAGGCTGGATGGACAGCTGACACTGTGATCTGACTCCAAGTTTGCTCTCACCCCCATTAGTGCTTGTATACCTTATAAAAAGGAGAGAAAAGGTACGATGTGAAGATGAACACATTCTAAGGGTTCTCGTGCAAATGGCAGCTGAGGCTGAATTCTATTCACTTTGGTGGGATGTGTCTGTGGAGCTGGTGAACGGCTGATCCTGTCCCAGGCGAGCTGTGATGGAGCAGGTTTGCTGGGGGTAGATATAGTATCAACCCCTCCTGGGCAGGACTGGCGATCTCTCACAGCTCCCCGCCTCCGCCGCTTGGCCCTGAGGTCCGTCCGCGGGGTTTACACAGACTCAGCGGACCCCAGCCCCTGCCGCTCCACCAGCATTCGTTCGGAGGTCGACTCCAGGGGGTCACGGCTAGACTCGGGCGGACAAAGACGCCACACGGCCTTGAACACAGGAAGCCCAGCCTACCAGAAGGAGAGTGTGCGCTTCCTACAAACCGGATGTTATAAAAAGGAATAACGGGGGGGGGGGGGGGGTCTCCGGTGGCCAAGGTATGTCCTGCAGCCCTGCGGCTTCCCGGCAATGTCTCCTCGGCAGCTGGAGCACCTTCGGGGTTGGGGTGGACTTGAGCCAACAGCATGCTTCTCCGGAGCACCAAGCCCCTCCATGAACCCTGCAGCCCGTCGGCCGAACAAAAGCAGGCAGTTGATGACCATGTGACTCTATAAGGAAACTATAAACAGCCTACTTTCCACAGGAGAGACTCAGGAGGAATCAGAGACAAACGACATATGATAAAAATCACACAGCTGAAGATGATAAATACCTGGCTATCGGCAACAATAGGCCATTCTATCTAATAATATCTCTCTCACTCTATGCATATATATGTATAATTTATATATAAAAAAATCATATAACAGAAAACAGGATAAGGTGAACTAAGGTACACATCAAAAGGAAAATAATTGATAATTTAATCTTGGGAGGGTTGTTCTTCTGATAAATAACTTAACTACAATAACCAGGCATACAGTTATTTGCTTCTGGAATAGTAATGCAAATAAAACCCAAGCACTCCTCTTTCAAAGATGGACGTCATTCCCCCAGTGACCCTGGCGTCCCTATAACTGTCCATTTATGTGCCTGCAGTGGAATTGGGTCACATGACCAACAACCTCAGCTTCCACAGCTGCTGTCAGCCCCAGAGGATTATGGTCCGTCATCACACAAGCATTCATTTCAGGGCCACTGCCCCCCTCTCTCTCGGCATTTGGTTTCGACCCCTTGATTTAACATCTGACTGGCGAGCAGCCCGCTGTCAGGTGGCACTCGCAGCTCTGATGTCGGCCTTGAAGAAAGCGCATGTTTGCCAAGCCTGGCGAGTGCCAGCCTGTACAGCTGGCCGGACAGAGTCTGGCAGTGCCGAACGGGGAAATAAATGACCGAATAAAGGCCAAAGTGTGAAAGGTGTCAAAGAGGGATCATGTTCACAGATATGACTATGATTTATGATCGCGTGTAGAAATTAGCAACGCAGTCTGGATTCTCCACCATACTGTGCCTTTTTGTCTGACTGACTGTCTGTCTGGCTCTCTGTCTGTCTGTCTTTCAATTTACTCCAAAAGCAAAAGAAAAAAAAAATCCCCCAGGTTCTGTAACCATAAATTTAACAGATGACACTATCATATACTATGAATTACAGCCAGTCCCCAGGCTGAGACCATCCACCTTACGGACAGCTCGTATTTACAAACAAACTGGCATAAAGTCTGTTATGTTTAAAAAATTGCATTATATACAATAGTTCGCAACAACGAACCCAATCACTACATTGTGATGCATCAGCAGTTTGTCGGCTTTCGGTACAGTACAGAGTGCAGTTTCTTTTATTATTAGTGCATTATTATGTTACTGTATTATTATTTTTCCGATAGACTTAGGCAACGGGTCTCATTCGTAACCTGGGGGTCACCTGTACTGGGAGGATTCCTGTGAAACAAAGACAGAAGGAGCCAACAACACACGCCGAGTAGGGGTGGGATTCATACACAGAACCTTACAGGTGCCAACTACACACACAGAGTAGCGGTGGGATTCAAACACACAACCTTACAGGTGCCAACTACACACCGAGTAGCGGTGGGATTCGAACACACAACCTTACAGGTGCCAACTACACACACGGAGTAGCGGTGGGATTCAAACACACAACCTTACAGGTGCCAACTACACACCGAGTAGCGGTGGGATTCGAACACACAACCTTACAGGGACAGTCCCACCTACAGAGCCACCAAGCCATAGAAGCTACAAAAGCAACATCATTGAAAGAATTATAGTAATACTATCCATATTACTTTTTAATCTTTATTTTGATATTATTGAACCAACTATTGCTATTTTTAGGTTATAATTGTAGCTGAGTTCCGCCGTTGCATCTACAGTGACGTTAATGAATCGCATGCTTGATGGGTCACAAATGAGCGTAATGTAATTATGCTGGGCAGCTGGTCACTGTGGGCAGAGGTGTGGGTCAGGGGGGGCCAGGCTGTATCGATAAAGAGGCTTTGTGCGTCCGGGCCTCATCCGCCACCCCCATCCCCCACTAGAATGTATCTGCAGCCCACAGGCTACGTGATTGTCGGTTGCAGCGGGCGCGAGGCTGGGCTTGGATGGGGGGGTGGCTCTGTTCCTGGGTGGGACCCAGATAAGGGCCCGTTCTTGGAACACAACTGGCCCCCTGCCTGCAGGGTCTGATACCATTCGGAGGAAGTGGGTAGGGCACCCCCCCCCCAACCCTCCCCCCGCCCCGCATGCCTGCTGTCCTGGCATCTGGGCAAAGGCCGCAGATGTGACTTTTTTTCTGATGGGGACCGACTTTTGCTGCCTCAGGGATTCCTGAAGGTTTGTGCAAACCACAGCAAAGGGGACTTGTGGGCCCAGTACTGTGTGGTGCTGGGGTCGGACTGGGAAACCTGTTGGCGGAGGGCTTGCTTGTTCCATGGTAAAAACGCTGAGCCCTGCAGGTAGCGGTGAGCCGTCCTCCAGAAGTTCAGGCCGTACGTGACGCTTAGCTGTCTGGGTACAGCTTCACATGCACCTGGGATGCCAGACGTCCTCCTGCAAAGAGAATCCCTTTGATACTTTATAACTGAAAAGTGAGGAAGAACACACAACGATGATGATGATGATGATGATGATGAACAGACTCTACGGATGAACAAAATTCCACTCAGATTATTGCCAGTGAAGCAGAACATATCTGGACTCAAAAACTTTGCACGTCAGGGAAACGTATAAAACTGACATTTTCTAGATAATTGCCGCAGAGGTGCTTCAGCAATTTATTTGGCTTTTGTTTGGCTAAATGTAAGAGCAATGATTGGTCAATCAGTAAAGAAGCTGATAGGAGCAAACTGAACAGCTACTGAAATATTAACATTTTCGCTATAGTTGGCAAAATATAACCATAGTGGTCCGGTTCATTTACACCAGGAACGTAAGGGACGCTCCCCTAAGAACATAACTACAGCAAATGTTTGTTATATAGCTTCAACAGTAAGTCCTGTTTACACAATAATATCTCATCCGGCAACATATTCACAGGACTAATGAATATTTATTGACACCAGGATGCCGTAAGACACTTAATCCAAAACTAAAAAGCAGAAACAAGAAACACAAGCTGCCAGCGATGTAAACCGAATCCGTGGGAGACACACTGGGCCAAAACACAAAGAAACGTTTGGTGTCTAACTCGCCTAGATGCTATTTTTTTCACTGCCCGGTGTGTGCGCCACTGTGGGTGGGCACAGCGTGGGGGGGGGGGGGTTGAGGTTAGGACTTTCCTATGCCCTCGCTAACCTCCCCTTCAGAATGAAAACTGAAAAATGTGCAAAGCGGACCCCGTACTCCGCTGCTCAAGCCCTCGATGTATGTTATAATCCCGGCTGAGCTGGCTGTACGTGGTTACATTTCTTTCATATTTAAAGACAAACAGGTTGAACTTGGTTCTAAACTGGTTGAAGCTGTTAAGCACAGTTGAAAGTGTAACTATCTTAATAAAACATCTTACATACTGCAAATTTTGTAATGTATAAGCTAGGCTGGGTTGCACTTTTGTTGCACACATGCATGTTTAGGAGTTTGAAGGCCGAGTCTTTGGCATTTCCAGATTGTGTGTGTTTGTGCCCTGGGATAGACTGGCATCCTGTCCAGATTGTATCCCTTGTGTGTTATTCTGCCTGGGACTGGATTTGGGCCCATTGAGACCCCATCCAGACAAACATGGCAGAAGCTGAATGGGTGTAAAGGTCACCCATCCATATTAGGTTAATGTATAGGCACGAGATCTGGTCCCTAAGTCTGTCTTTAAATCAAAGTTGTAGGTAATTGGGAACTGTAATAATACAGTGACACGATAAAATAACTACATACGGTCCTGTACTGTACCTGGAGTCGATAAACTGCAGAAGGTGGGCAAGGTTTTCATGAGCGTCACTAAGTAAGTTGTGCATCTGTTACTATGAACCATTGTAATTAACTCAAAATGTTAATATAATCTGCTTTATGGATATCTGTTAATAAGTACGAGTTGCCTGTAAGTCACACGTATCTTTCCTAACCAAAAGAAACTGTAGTCAGGAGTCATTTCCCTTCTACTTTCCATGAGAAATGTTTTCATTTGCATTAAAGGCTGGCTGGTGTGATCCTGAGTGTGTGTGGCTGGAGTGATCCTGAGTGTGTGTGGCTGGTGTGATCCTGAGTGTGTGTGGCTGGTGTGATCCTGAGTGTGTGTGGTGGGTGTGATCCTGAGTGTGTGCGGCTGGTGTGATCCTGAGTGTGTGTGGTGGGTCTTCACACGTCCGTAGGTGTTTCCTCCAGGTTTTACAGCTTCCTTGGGGTCTCCGCAGACATTGCTCCAGGTGAACTGGTTTTTTTTCTAAGTTGCCTTTAGCTTGCGATTGCCCTTATGTGTCTGTGCCCAGCAATAGACTGGCACACTAAACACCCTGCACCCTGCATGCTGGGACACACTCCAGACCCAGCAGGACTCGGCAGTGGATAGGAGGCTATGAAAACACTTACTTAGGCATTTATTCAATTTTTACTTCTGTTATCCATGAACCTTTAAGAGTATGAAAAGCTAAAAACTGGACAGAAAGATGGGGCCCACTGGGAACTGTATGAAACTACCAACAACTAACGGAGATCTGAATCAGGAAAATAAACTTTAAAAATGCTCATATTTTTATTTATGATTTATATTGCCATGGCAACAAACACGAGGAGCAGTGATCACAAATCCTAACACACCCGCCTTTGTAATTCAAGCAAGTACAAATGTGACAATTTTTTTTTCCAGAAAACAGCTGTTATTTGTCATATTTATGCTACCACTGTCCTTGTGATAACAGCCCAGACTGAAAACAGAATGGTCTCCAGATCACTACTGAAAGTCTGCTCAGATATTATAATCTGCTCCATCCTGTTGCTGTCCTGTCAGCCACCTGTGGACGAGAGAAGCAAATTACAGCACTGTAGGCTACCGGCACACAATTTTTGTCATGAAGGCAACGTCTTCCAGGACACACAGTCTTAATCCTACTTGCGGCTGCTCAGTGCCGCTGGTGTGGTCACATCAACATCCCCAGGAAGGGTTTATATCAGGTTTTTATAACGTGCAGTGAAATAAAGCAGCTGCAGCGTCACAGAATCACAGGGCTCTAAATGTGGCTAAACGAAAACGACATAGGATGGAGAACATTCTGGAAGCCCTGTTTTCCAATACTGCCAGTAGGTCACTGAGCTGGCTGGTTATTTATTTAATGAACTGCAGACTTGAGAAGTCACCTCCATTTGCCCAACGTCACTGCAGGAATCTCGCGTTCTTGGCCTGCTACGCTCACAAGTGCAACAGCGACGCATTGAAACGCTTTCAGTCTCCTTGCCATGCATGGGAATGACTTTTAGTTCATGTTCCTGGGGGCTGGGAAGAGATGTGAGAAAAAGGGTCGTTACTTGCACATTCACAACCGCAGCAGTGCTGCGCCTTTTTAAAAGTAGTGCAGAGGTTGCACTTAACGTGCAGGACGGAATCAGCACGTTAGCATGCTTCCTCGAAGATCAAATAAGGGACAAAGATGTCCTAGACCAAACAGTGCACAGTGCACAATCATGTCTTGGATATTCTGGTAGCTATCCTTAATTAATAATGACTCATTATTTGCAATTAGTGGCGACTCAGTAATCATATGGCGGCAATGTTACATTTATTTTAACTGCACATCTGACTTAAAGAAGCTGCCCTTAGCTGTGGTTCCATTACAGCTGCTAATATTTGTGCAAGATACTATGTAATATGAAAGTATCACATTGCAGAAAACTTGCAAACTGAATTATCCCTCCCTTTTTGTAAATATCAAGTTAAATGTGCTACATTGTTCCGTTCAAACCAGAAAATGTTTTAAATCATTGTCAAATTTCAGTTATTCATATTGTTAAATGAATGAACGAAAAATAAAAAAATAAGGCATCTTCAAAATTAAAAAACTAAGAAAATAAGTTGCATTCGAAATTTTATAGCCCCCCCCCCCCAACCTAAAAATAGCAAAATACCAGCAAAATACCATACACCGTGGTATAGTGTGTGGACAACTAACATACCGCCCAAGTCTAATCTCAACCCAGCCGACTACTGCAACCTTTGCAATATGACAATTTCATGCGCGTTACATGCATTGTCAATATTAAGATCGCATATCGTGCATGTCTGCAATTCTGTAATGTGATGGACTAGCCTCCTGTCCAGGTTGTATTATTCCAGGTACCAGAGAACATTTATGAATGTCAAAAATGATAGCGTTTTCCACAAGAATGTCTTGATTTTTTTGTATTTATAGCAATAGAGCACCTTAACCTATCTACACACATTTTTGGGTGGAAAAACCAATATCTTTGCTTTAAACACTACTTTCACTCACTGGTATAAGTCTATAATATTGGGAATTCGTATAATTAAACAACTGTCTTTCTAAGGTTGGTTAGCGTTTTGGGTGGTCTGATTCATTCACATGTTCATTTACACTTCATACTTACCTACCAAAATACAAGATCTAGTTAAATGCATAATTAAGATATATTAATTTGGATTTGTTAAAAAGCCTAATAATATGTTTCCTCAGTGGTGTGGTAAAACACTTGCATAATGCATGTCGAGGGCTGATTATGGGGGATTTCAGGAGGAAATCTCTCTTGCAGTCTTTTACCGTAAAAAAGACGGAACCATGTCTGCCTTTCAAAACATTGGAAGATATAAATAAGATGTGTTATAGATACAGAGAACTTGTATTCAAGTATATTCCTGAACAACATACCTGGACACTTAATACTTAAATTTAATTCCCCCCCCTCCACCCACAGAACTGCAATATTCATGTGTGAAATTCTTTTACCTTTGCTCCACATTGCAGTTCTCCACATTTCCGTCTCCCTTAACTTTCACTCAATGCCATGTACAGTTTGTAACCTTGGTGAACTTGAAAAAGGGTCACGTCAACCCAACCACAAAAGCAAGCCACTGATATGTCACTGGAGCATAGCAACTCATAGCAACTCATAGATTTAGTAAAAGCTCAGTTTTCGTTGGCAAATTCAGCAGTTCTTCAGCTTTGTGGGGACCCACTTTACAGCCCCATGTGTGAGATGCACATCTTGATTTCCCACAAAACCCAGGGCCTGAGATGTCACTTGAAATCATACAGGATCGACTGTGATAGAGCAAACCACCAGTTGTGGCATGACAGCAGCAGGGTTGCCAACTCTCACACATCTGGCAGACTCTCACGAAATAAATCTTATGGAAAATGTATAGTATTCCATTATAGACCTAAATTTAGCTGTATCAAAAGCGCTGGGGTGGTTTGCAAACCCTACAGACTATTTATAAGGTGATAAAACGGTTACATGCATGTATGTACATACTTCTCTCGAATTGAAAATCTCACTCCAATCAGCTGACCAAAGCTGGCAACCCTGCAGCAGCCGTACGGTCTACGTTAAACGACGCACATCTGGCTGGTTTCCCGCAACACCCCGCGCCTGAGATTTCATTTGAAATCATGCAGGGCTGACTATGCACGGGATAACGCTCCCCTAAACGCAGCAGGTCCGCTTTGTTTCCCTTCCCTAAACCATGTCCGCCTGCGGTGCATGGAACAACGATCGCCGAGACTAAATCCACATCCTCCTCCTGTTTTAAAAAATTGCCCTTGTTTTCACAGCTGCAGAGCCCTGAAATGAAACATAGGTTTTATTCCATCTGATTTTCCACCATGGTTTATCCTGAAATTTGCATGACTGGACCTAGAATTTATTTTAGACATAATTTGGAAGTTTTTGGAATGTAATTCAGTTAGCGGTTTGGAAGCACAGAAACCTTAGTCAACTACTCCTTTCGCGAGATCTGCTATTAAAGGTGTTTCAAGGATCCGACTTAATGCTAATCTATGATTCAATATTACAGAATATCAAACTGTAGTTTGCTTTGTATAATAAATTTTTGTTCTAATACGAACGCAGCATTTATTTTTTACTAGCCCGTCTGTGGTTATACCGGTATAACTACACGTGTAAGAATGATTATAAACGTTGTTACATGTCTTTGTAGAAAACTTAAGACTGCAGCCGTTGTGCATTTTATGTAATCAGTTGGGTAACCACATTTCAACTTTGCGTAAATGTCTTCGCAGGTAGATACAGTAGGGCTTCTGTGAACATCGGGGTTCATAATCTACTATTAATAGGCCTATTATGTAAACAGAAAAAAACTGAACCGAACACAGCACTTAGGCTGAGACCCCCAAGCGGAGAAAGGGTCGCATACGTCATTACTGCTGACTTCCAATAAAACCAGGAGTCTGAAAACGGAGACAGTGAGAACGGCGTCGCGTCTGCAAAGTGGATTGCAAGTTGCCTGTAGACTAGGTGAGAGGTATTTTCTAATTTAGTCGAATTAGTTGATTGTTTTAGTTGTTACGGTAAAACATTTTTTAAACATAAATATATGCAAGAACTGGATTTAATGTCAGACTACATTATAGGGTTTATATGTTTTTAATTTAAGTTGCTTTCTTATTTTCATATTGCTGCTGGAGATAACCTGAGTTTTGGGACCTTGCCGCAGGATATCTGACTATGACATATTCTTTTAGTAAGTTAAAAGCATGCATTTAAGCGAACAGCCAGCATGCGTTAGAAAAGGCACTTTTGACGCATTCTGTAAGTGAAGGAGAAATCGGGCAAAATCGCACGTCGACGCTCAGGAGCACACGGCGCGAAGCGGTCAGCACGGGGCCGCCGGGAGGCGGGGCCGGTGTGGTTGTAGTGCGCTGACCTTCAGACGGCTGCCTGGGCGGCGAGGGGTCGCGCCGCGGAGAGTCTGGGCGTCGTGTTCATTTTTAATCAGCAGTTATACCGCAGTTACCGCTTTAGGACGTTGTGTTTTAACTCCTCGCCGTTATTGAGAGTGAGGTAGGTATATTGTAGCTAGAATTAGCAGAAACTTTTTACTTATGTTGTCGAGTTAGTTTCACCTTGGTACCAGACGTGGTAGTTTATGCGATTATTTCTGTCACTTGTCTCTTGTTATAAAGTTCAACTGTATCCTCCTGAGACCCGACTTATTCATTTATGTCCATTGTAGTGGACATTGTATTTTTGCATTTAGTTTTTCACTGATGTTAGGAAGCATATTTATTCCTGTTGTGCACTAAAGAGGACATGCTGCGAAATTAAAAATAAAAATAAATTTGAAAAAATTTAATTTCAAGATATCTTATTTCCTCCAAAGACAAATAACCTACAATTGAAGGACACTTTTTTCCTTGGGTCTCAGGAGGATATAATACGGTGTGCATATACCACGTTAGCGTTGCATGGTTAAAGGTTTAAATTGTACTGAAATGTCACTGAGATCGTAAATTAACAGATGAAGGTGACAGCATTATTGTGGACTGTTTTACGATACCTTTGTGGAGAACGACCCGACCCGTCCCCTCAACCCGCTTCTAAAACCGCTCGTAGCATAAACTTTATGTAACATGACACAGGTACTGCGTCCTTTCTGCCAGCTATTCAGTACTTCACCGCTTTGCGTTGTACATCTATAGGCTTGCAGATTAATTCATTAATTAAAGTGCGCATCCACTAGGGAACCACAGAGCTTGGTTAATAAGAACCGCTCCTAATAACCGCATTGACCCCGACTCTTCTCTGGAGTAGCTCGGGAAGGCTGAGTCCGCTCAGCACGGCTTCCGTGTGACGCTCATATGATCTGCCACAGTGCGGATGAAGATGTGTCCTCGCCAGCCCCCTTTTCTTAAGGGGCTTAATACATTAATGTTCACATATTAGAAACACTGCGTTCCTGCTTTGATCATTTCTGGTACTTAAAATTGAACATTCCAGTCTTATTGTTAGCTAGTTTTCTTGCATCTTTAGTGTTTATTTTGCATCCTAAGAAATGTCTGTGATATCGTGAAGTTGTAATGCCCAGACTCTGGGAGATTTTTTTTTCTCGCACTCCATACTTGGACACCAGGTTTATGCTTGGATGCCCTGGCCTTAATTTCATCTGCTGATGTTATTCTGGTTTGGAATTCGATTCCCTTCTTCCTGGAGCATGTGGTCCCTGTGACCACCAGGACACTCCATAGCGAGTGTCCCCTTCATCTTTCCGATGGAGCTGAAATACCATGATTTTCTCTTCTGTACGTTGTGTTGTCCAGGCGCCCCCCCTCTCCCATATCCAGTAGTGGGTCGTATTTTTTTGTGACAGATACGAGCAACACTATAAATCCTGGTGCTGTTTTTGTATAGGTCACTCTTACCAGCATTTGCTACATGTGGAGGCTAGGAACATTATTGGCTGTTAGCCACTGTACAGTACATGAAGGTTAATGTGCCCCTACAGTGAGAAGGAATGCAGAGCACATTTAATATGGTGGCCAGCCCTTGGAAAGGAGTTTATTGGCATTTAATTTAGAACTGTTAATGGTCTTTTTTTTTGAGGGGTGACTTTTTAAGTGAATGAAGATTTCATCATTCTCTGGCAGGGTGTGGTGTGGCAGTTAGTATGTGTTTCCAAGCTGGGTGTAACACTGTACGTTTTGCTATCTCTTCTGCACATGTCTTATAGAAAGCCTTTAGGACTGATAAGGGGATGGGGATGTTGAATGCTGTTGCTATTGAAGAGATCAAGGGCTAAATTGAGTTTACCTGGACTTTTTTCATCTTTGAAGGAAGATTGGCATTGGGGCTAAAATTGTTGGGGCTAGGCTTGAAATACAGAGTGATCGGACCTAACGATGCCCTTGATGCTGTCTAAGTTGTGGGAGTGAATGGTGTAAAATCACCAGACTTTTCGGTGGAGCTGGGAGGTAAGAGTAGGGCCGTTCCCTTTTTCTAAGTTGGAGGTGCACACTCTCCATGCCTGGTGTCAGCCACACAGAAATCGGGTCTTTGCACATAGGGTCGACCAGCTTCAACCATGTTGTTGGTTTTTCGTTGGGACATCTCTGGTGGTTCTGAGTCAGAGGTGGTTCTCCTTTACCAGGTCACATGCTATTGACTATGACTGGCCAGACTGGGGGGGAGCTTAGACACAATAAAAGTAGACAAAATAAGGAGAAGTTCCTCTAAAGTCAGATGGCAGAGGAAGCAGGACCCTGGTTCTGTCCTTGAGGACAGATTTGTCAGCAAACTGCCGTATGATTAGAGATTTCGTTAATGTTTTTTCCTTGACCTAGTAAAATGACTTCAGGCTTACAAAATGGGCTTGGAAGTTGCTTAGGCCGTGTGATATTTGATATTTCAATAATAATGTGATGGATAGATGACTATTCTGTGAAATCTATCTGTGGGATCTACACTCACATGACCTTTTCAATAGTCTAGTGGACATAATCAAAACAATTTGCAACATCTAGAATTTGACATTTGCACCCACAAGTGGGTGATGTTATCATACCTTATCAGTCGCCATCTACTTTCATTGGCGTCGCCGGTTACTTTCTAGGTTCCCATTTGGTTACACCAGCCAGTAGTAGCTTTGAAGTGGTGTTTGTGGGCCTTGTCTCCTCTTTGATACAGTTTCTTATTATTTATTTAGCAGGCATTTTTATCCAAGGTGATATACATTCTTTAAGGGTCACACAGTTTCTCAAACATTCGGGGGTTAAGCCCTTGCTCAAGGGCCCAACAGTGAAAGTACTCTGCCAACCCTAACTGACAATTGAACCAATGACTTTCCAATAACGGGCACATTATCCTAGCCTGCTGAGCCACCCATCGCCCACTACGCTATCTGGTAGTAATCTGTAGTACAGGGGTCACCAACATAGTGCCCGCGTTATCCCCAAGGACCACATGAGTCACCCACGGACCTGTTCTAAAGATAGCACAACTCACCAGTGAGCAGCGTCTAAAATGTAATTTTATCCTGTTGCTATTCTTCTTTAATCCCATTTGTATTTATACAGATTTCAAAATGACAATATCTAAAAAAAAAAAGCATTTAAAACATGTTTATTATACATTAAGTTTAGGAGGGCATTTCAAACTGGTAGTTCTGCTGTAGTACTTATTTCAACACTGAGAAACAAAGATTGCTCAGGGGTCAAAGGATAATGGTTCATTGGCAGGTACGGTGTAGAAGGCGCGTCTCTGGTAGAAATGCATGCTAGTTTCTTCTCCTGTGAAGCAGTCGTTACTCAAGGTATCAATCAGTAGAACAATACTCACTTTGCTGTCAAGATTAATTAATTATTGCGTGCCAGCATTTCCTGTGCAATGTTACCATACTTTATGGAATGGCAGGAAAAAGTGAGTTTGGGAAGGGAAAATGAGCTTGTATGAGATTGTCATTATGCTGGTAGGTTCTGCCATATTATTTGTGTTCTTCTCAGGACACACAGGGCAGAGAGTCAGAGATTTGTGATGTTCCTCATGCAGGAACACCCCATGAATGATCACGGTGATGTTCCTTATGCAGGAACACCCCATGAATGATCACGGTGATGTTCCTCATGCAGGAACACCCCATGAATGATCACGGTAAAATCATCAGCGTTTATGTTCAGACATGGATCTAAATTTAGTATTGAAATATATACATTAAGCATGATAGTGCATCATCTGTCTGAAAACTTCAAAAAGGGAAATCTAAATTGTAAATTGGAATGGACTGATTGATCTGAATTGCTTTTTTCTTTTAAAAGAAAATGTTTTTCTGTGGTTATTAAAGAATTAATAGTTCAGTTACCTGTTGTGTCGGTGAGCTCACTACGTAGCGTTGTGAAATATTATTATTGTTAACATTCTGTTTTACCCCTTTCGTGTTTTTCCTTTCAGATTTGAGTAAAAGACATGGACCAAGCAAGGTCAACAATATCTAAAATAGTAAGCATGTTAAAAACTGTGATTATCAGCAGTTAATCAACATCGCTGATTCTGATTTTTTACTCAGTATTAATGAGATTATTGATATTAATGTAATGGAAGCCATGCTTAGACCCATTACATTTTTAGTAATGTTTTCCTGGAGAATTGATGGCATTTTGTATTTTTAATGTGTTTAATACAGTGCATGTGTGCATCTCTTCTGAATATTACTGTCAATATAGACATTGTATTATAAGTAGAATGCCAGCAGTGGCTTAAGGACGTTAGAACTGTTAAAATGATTTTTTAGATATTAAGCTCATATTAAGTTATATATTCTGAAGTTGCTTATTACTAGATATATTTAAGCTGATTTTTAAAATACTTTAGACATTAGAGGAAGGGTAAAATGCATGGTTCAGAGGTAACATGAACCCTCCAAATCAGTGGTAAATTTTATAACTGCTACGTCCGCTGTTGTTGGCTAATGCAGCTGCTGCGTCTCGCCCCTGCAGTTCAATGGGGAGCCGCGGTCCTACACGCGCTTCAACCTGACCCAGAACATGGAGGGTGAGAACAGTCAGGTGGAGATGAAGCTGTCCTCCGACATCGATGAAGAGACTGGGAACTCCGTGGGGGATCACTTCAGCCAGAACCACAACCAGAACCAGAACGGCACTTGGAGTCAGAAGCACATTCAGGAGATGTACCTGTGCAATGCCCGGCGAACCCCCCGGAACCTCTGCTTCATGGTCACCACTACCTTGCTCATCTTCATCATCGGTAAGAGACTGTCTACCTGTGGAAACTGCCCGTTACTGTTGTAGTTTCTTCTCCTTGGTTGGGGAATGAGGCAATGCAGTCGAGTCAGGGCTTTGTGGGAATGAGTCCAAAACACCAATCAGAGAGTGTTTCTCAATACCAAGAAAGTGAAGATCATACTTGTGTTCTTGGCAAGACCAGTCTTGCTGACTTACCTTCCAAGAACGAACTCGGGGCGCAATGAATCATGGGATTGCTCTCGTTTGGTGAGGATGCAACTAATGTATCCTCGATATTTGGGGCGGGGCAAGAACGACATCCGGGGGTTTTTACTGTCCTCTGTACTTCTGTTCTTGAGTATTGGACCTGGTCTTCGTCAATGGAAGATGATGTAAAACGGGTACATGACAACATAAGTACGGTCAAGTACGCATATTGAGAAACACCCAGAATCTGCGCTTCATCTGTGGCATAGTGACCTTTGCCACGTCTGCTGTCTTTCAGGATATCTCATTGGCTACCTAGCTCACAATAAGCAGGATAAGCAGGCCCCGAATTGTCCTGAGCATATTGTCAGTGACAAGCAAGACGAGGAGACGAGGGTCTACAGTGAGCCCGAACTGGACTGGGACGGCATCAAAGAGTTGCTGAAACAGAAGCTCAGCCCCAACCGATTCGACAGTGTCTTCAAGTCAGTGTACTTTTAACCTACGCTTTCTGATTTTCAGATTATTCAGATTAAAACATTACATTTTCCAAAGTCGTGGTCAGTTTTGCCACTGACAGGATTAGTGTAGGGCCGGGTTCCCCAATTCCGGTCCTGGAACTTGCAGATTTCCCTGCCCAAACACACATTATTCAGCTCACCAGCTAATTCGCAGGTTTAGTAGATGTTTGAGAGGGGAAATCTGCAAACTGTGTTGCAGGACTAAATCAGGGAACCCTGGTATCGGGCTTAACCTTACTGGACATTAAGGTGACATGAAGGCAGTGATTTATTCAGTCACTCCCTTTGCGCTCATTGCGTTGTGTTGTGCCCTCTCCCCATGCAGAGAGTTCTCCAAGGAGAGTCATGAGGCAGGCTCGGATAACGACAGGGCCCTGGCCTTGCAAATCAAGGCCCGGTTCCAGCAGTACCGCATGAAGCCCTGGACCGACGACCATTTCGTCAAGCTCCAGAACCTGCCGGCATCGGGTACCAACAAAATCACCATAGGGGAAAAGAAGCTGGAGCCTCGCGGTTACGCCGCCTACAGCGCCAACGGCGTGAGACAGGTGAGTACTGATGTGGTGCGGAGCCAGAACCACACAGCCCCTCCCATCCTCCTCTGAAAACTCGCCCCTGATCACCTTCGACCCACGTCCCAGGGCAGGCTGGTCTACGCCCACTTTGGAAAGGAGAACGACTTCATACTTCTGAAACAGATGGGAGTAAACCTGACAGGAAGTGTGGCTCTGGTCCGAGCAGGAAAGCTGAGTTTTGCAGAAAAGGTGAGTGAAGCTGGGGCTGGCTCACTGTTAAATGAAGGAAAATCATTGCTATGGCTTCTGCGTAAGGGGGTCATGGTGTTTATGCAATTACCAACTGAATAAATTGACCTAAATAAAATCATTGGGAATAAAAATTGTATTTATATGAAAGCTCTGGTTCTGTATACGTGGGAGAATCTGAGGCTGTGCTTGTTTTATTTATTATATATTTTCTTTCAGGTGGCTAATGCTGCAAAACACCAAGTGGTTGCTATTCTCATCTACCCGGATCCCGCTGAATACAGTTTGCAGCCCAACACGGAGCTTTACGGTCATGTGAGTGGCCACCAGGCAGTGGCTCGTGCCTGTCGACCCCCCCCCCTTTCCTTTGTGTGTCCACCAGAGCCAGACTGTAGCACATGTGTTAGCTTTGGGTAAATTTACTGGTAAATGGAACAAATTTTGTACTGCCTAATTTTTTCATGTGTCGTTTCCATCTCCTCTATTTCTGGTGTGTTACTCTATGTTTTGAAAAATTCTATGTTTTCCCCCTTTTTCAGGTCCACCTGGGCTCTGGTGATCCCTACACTCCGGGGTTTCCCTCTTTTAACCATACACAGTTCCCCCCGGTTCAGTCCTCGGGCCTCCCCAGCATCCTGGCTCAGACAATCTCTGCAAACGCAGCTGCCCAGCTGTTCCGGTGCGTTCAGACTGCTCAGATTGCTGTCTGCCCTTTACAGCTTCCATTATTCTAAATGAATTAGTTGTGAAGAAAATCATCAGTTTTAACTTTAAAATTCATATAACATATAATGTTTGTCCATCATTTTATACGGTCAACAACAAAACAAACAAAACAAAAATTTCTCGAAAAATTGTAAAACATAAAATTGAATAAATATAAAAGAAAACACCGTAACGCCTTTTAACCAAACATTCTATTAATGTCAGGCTAAAAGTAGTACATTGCAGTAGTACATTAATGCAGGAAGTACAGCCTCGCAGCCTCTTCTCCGGTGAGAAAGCTCCTTTTCTCATCATAAATGTTTAACGAGATATTATCGGGTTCCTGCTGATGCCCGCGAGTTTGTGTAACTGTACTGGCCATATATCAGTGGAGGCCGAGTTTTGACTGGCTGATCGGTAAGCTGACGCAGCAGAGAGAGGCTGCTGATGCGGCCACGTGCCGTCATTCTCCCGCAGCTTCCAGTGAAAAGGTCCAGGCTGATTATTCATCACACGATTCACACGCTTTTGTGCCTTGGTAGATGCGATTGCCCTCCCCCCCATCAACGAACTTCCAGCTTCCTACTTAGTAAATGATAATATTTTTAATTTGTTCAGAGGGTGTAATACTGTATTACAACAGGTCGCCAGTCTCCTCAGAGACATCTTTTCTCTTAATTATAATTATAGGCATTCAGGTTAGCTCAAATAAGTTTGTGTTGTATTTATTTTGTAGACTGTTGTATCCAAAGTGATGTATATTTGAGAATGCAAGGTCAGTCAGTCCCTGGAGCAGTTGTGGGCTAAGGCCCTTGCTCCAGGATCCAATGGTGATATCACTCTGCAGACCCTAAGATTTGTACTGGGAATGTTCAATGGACACAGCGTCCAAAACCAGTGAGCCACACACAACCACCAGCTGAGGTGTTGAGTGTGTGAATATTACTGAGCAGGAGGATAATGGATATTACATAGGTTACGTTTTTTTAAGGGAATAATTAAAAGGGGAAAGTTATAAAAAGGCAAATGACTGTCTTTCTGTGTCGCTGTTAGTTTTGGAAATAGGTCTGGAAAGTTAACTGCAAAGTAGCATGTTGTTAGGGCTGATATATTGTGGGTTAAGGTAGTTTTGAGACTGAATAACTTAAAGGATAGAGGTAGTTTGTGGGTAGCAGGTGGCAAGTAACCAAGAGAAAAATCATGGTAATGAAATTCTTGTTAAGGGGGAAATGCAATATAGGAATAAATCTGGATACAATATTTTGCAAGTTTCCATGTTCAGACACATGCCAGTCCTGATGTAGCTGCGTAACTGACCTTTGATTGCAGAATTGGAGTGATTATAAATGAGGAAGAAGGGGAATCTTTGCTCTGTGGACCAGCTGTCAGCCTCCTGGGGTCAAAAGCCAATGGAAATTTCCACATCCATTGGTGGTGCTCATTTCCGAATTGTTTTCAACCCCTGATGCAGGAATATGAATGGAAAGAATAGTCCGCCCAACTGGGATGAAGGCAGGCTTATGGGCGTCACCTATAACCTGGGCGGCGATAATGACACCGTCACTGTGGAGGTGAATAACAGCCTTGTGGAGAAGATGATTCACAACGTGTTTGGAATAATAAAGGGGTTTGTGGATCCAGGTACGTGGCAAGGAGCCGTAGGTCAGACCATTACCTATATACATGATGGATGTATTCAGCATAGATACCAATGTCATACTGTCTTGTATGTCTCCCCCCCCCCACCTCCAATTTAACTGTTTTCTCTTTCCCCACTTTTTTTTTCCTCATAAGATCGGTATGTTGTGATTGGAGCCCAGAGAGACTCATGGGGACCTGGCTTTACCAAGGCCACAGTGGGAACCAGCATAATGATGGAACTGGCTCGTGCCATCTCAGAGATGGTGGCGAACAGTAAGTGGGGGGAGGGAGGACGGCACCCTGTGAGACTTCACTGAGTCTTAGACGAGGGTCACAGTGCACAGGGGGGGCTGAGCACCAGCCTTTTCCTTTTTCAAAGCTGGCTAGCCGTAAGTAACCTTGATTGTTGGTTAACAACGTAGCTGCACATTATTGGGGAAATTGCATCTACATAAATAATAATAATAATAACAGATCTGAAAATTTGATAATTTGCTTATTTATTTAATTTAGTCACGGGCCTCCAAACCATTTTCGTTACCTAAAACTAAAATTTATAAGGAAACATTTTCGTAAACTAAAATAAAATAAGACTAAAATAAAACTAATTGAAATGATAAGTATTGCTTCCAAAACTAAGTGAAATAACAACAAATGTTGAATACTTTGTTGTAGTTTTTACTGTATTTAGCTAAAGTAATGATTTGTTTATCTTTACGCCTTGATGAAAATTGTTTGAGGAAACTTTATCATTGCCTTTAGATGTGCTCCAGGTATTAACGGTCGTTTCACCCATCTTGTGGACATTAGTGCATAATATGCACTGTGCAATCATGGAGGATTCTCTGAAGAGTAGACGCATAGAACAGCTCTACAACTTTCAATCCCCAGAAACAAAATTACTAAAACTGAAAGTGAAATAGAATCAAATGTAGCTTTCAAATAAAAATTAATAAAACATGTCAAACTAAATAATTAACTAACTAAACTGGATTTCAAATGAAATTGAAATGAATTTCAAATGAACATATGAAAACTAAATAAAAACCTATAATAACCCTTCCGTCCAGTGGATCAATACACCTCACCCAGAATCCCGTGCTTTTCCAACTCACTGCAAATATCCGGTAGCAAGTTTTAAATAATGGACAGGAACTTGTGGCTTGATGCTTGCAGGTGGACACCTTTGAGCAAGGTACTTAAGCTTATTTCTTATTGTCAATGGTGCAGATGGATTCAAGCCTAGGAGAAGTATTATTTTTGCAAGTTGGACTGCTGGAGAATATGGGAACGTTGGCGCCACCGAGTGGCTGGAGGTAAATATCTGTTATATTAATGCAAATATTTCAGTGTTGCCCTGGGTGGAGAGTGAGACATGAGAGTGCTTGTTTCTCTTTCTGCTAGGGGTACTTGACCACACTGAATCTGAAAGCTGTTTCTTACATAAACCTTGATGGGATAATTAGAGGTGAGTTATGGCATTTTTGAGGTACTCAGAAAGGTGTTTTATTTTTTCCAAACCTTAGGGGAAATTTATTTGCATACAGCAGCAGAGGGACATTAAGTGCACAGATGCAAACGCGAAGCGTGCGACTTAAGATGAGGCGTGAGATAATTGTGCAAATAGATAAGAAAATAAAAATAAATGCCCTGTTTAATTTTACCACTATTCCCTCCCCAGGAAAAAAAACATTCCAAGCATCTGGGAGCCCACTACTGCAGAGCTTGTTGGCGAACACTTTGAAAGAGGTAAAACATGACATTTCATCAGGGTTTAACTTCCACTCTCTCCCACGCGTGTTGTAATTTTCCCCTCTATACCTCCTGTTTGTTTAGATGAAGAGTTTGATTCAGTCTTCGGATTTGTCCAATGTTGACTTTCAAACAGAAAAGTAAGTAACTGGCCCCCTCTCACCTCCAAATGTATAAGTAAATAGGTAAAATTTATTTATAAAGCACTTTTCACAGACACAGAGTCACAAAGTGCTGTACAAATATATGCCATTAAAAATTTGAATACCAAGAGGAATATAAAAAAGAAACATGAGTACTAAAGACACCTGAAAAAATATATTACAGAACAAAGCCCAAGCAGCGTTAACTCAGCTCTTCAAAGGCCTTCTTAAAAAAGAAAGTCTTAAGATGTATTTTAAAGGACAAAGCTAAAGGAAGAGCGTTCCAGAGTCTAGGTGCAGCTGACTGAAAAGCAGGATTCCCACATGTCTTAAGTAGTGTACGGGGGACGACTCGAAGGTCTTGTTGACCTAAGAGCCCGGCTGGCTGTGTGGCATTGGAGTAGACTCCCAATATACTTAGGGTAGAGCTCGACCATGCAGCGCTTTATAAGTGAGAACCAGGATTTTAAAATGAACTCTAAAAAGAACTGGCAGCCAATGCAGAGAATACAAAACTGGAGTAATATGTGCTCTCTGGTCAGTCTGGGTTAAAAGCCTAGCAGCCGCGTTTTGTATTAACTGTAGCCGAGAAAAGAGAGATTTGTTCAGACCTGAATACTGAACGTTACAATAATGTAGACTGTGATGGTTCTGTCCCTTTTTACTCAGAAGATGCATTCAGTTAAGCTTGCACGACAGAATCATATTTTGTTTTTTGTGATCTGATAACGCTTTCCATAACGTGTGACGCGACCTTGCAAAACAGCGCTTGGATTTTACTTCTGTTGCATGAATGAGTGACTGTATGGAGGGAAATCCCGGACATTATTCAAAAGGAATTATTAACAGAAGTAAAATCCAAGCGCTGTTTTGCAAGGTCGCGTCACACGTTATGGAAAGCGTTATCAGATCACAAAAAACAAAATATGATTCTGGCCATGCATGACTTTCCCGTCCCTTAGTCACCAGTTAGCGCTCATAGTGGCGGTGTTAGGCACTGCCCATTAAAACACATAGGGAGGGGAAACGTTACCCCAGCACGTAAAAAAAGCCGAAAACGTGATCACAGCACGTTTAAATAGATTTTATGTCGTGATGGCTGCACGAAAATTCGTGAGATCGGGTTGAACAGTTAGGATGACCTGATAGTGCATGTCAGGGAGGACACTGTGAGCTACTTCAGGTTTTACAAACCACTTACAAACTGAAAGGCTAAATAGTTGTTCTTGTGAGTTCAATCGTTTGTTTCCACGTTAAAAAGACTCATCCAACTGTTTCACATTAACATTAGTGACACGTGCATGATTGCTGGATATTGACCAATCAGCACACAACAAAAACTCATAGCTTAAGTGAAATCCAGGTCCTTTTAATTGAAATGGTTTACAAATCCTATCCTGACATGGATTATCTTGTCACCCTAGTAACACAGATCTGAGACCATAATAATCAAAACTTACATAGACTAGCTGGTAAAGAATAAGCTGTTGTTTTACACAGGTAGCACATATAATATGAGATTGACTCTGGTTTTATGTCTTTCTCTTGTACAGAGATAAATACTTGGCAGTATAAATGGCTTCAGTAAAATTGCACTATAAGGGATTCTGCTGATATAATGTCTGGCTTTGGCTCATGTGGTACAGTGATGCCGTTTCTGTTATTCCAGCCTGAAACCCATGAAGGTGGACGACGCCGCTTACCCATTTGTGGCCTTCTCTGGCATCCCGTCCATCTCCTTGTTTTTCACAGACGACAGAAACGGGGTTAGTCTGCAGTGCCCCACCGTTGCTGCGTCGCTGTTGGCCAGAACTCAATGCAACTCTACATTGAGATGAAATTGTATTTTCTGGCCTGGTGCTGAATTATAAGCACAGCTAATAAAAATGAATAACGGTAATAGGTCAGGGTTTCTGGGTCAGGATATTTTTTTAAATTATTATTAATAATAATAATAATAATAATATTGTTGTTATTATTATTATTATCATTATTGTTATCAATAATAATAATCACAATATCATTTAGAATTTCCTGCTGAGATCAATAAAGCTCATTTTAATTCTAATTGTTACTTTTACTACTTCTACTGCTACTACTGAAATTCCTCATATTTATAAAGTATCAAGTGCTTATATTTAGTAATGTTCATTCTTTGATTACCGAAATTGGTTAATATTTTATAATACAATATAAAAACAAATTCTCAATCTGATGGATGAATGCAGACTGTATGAAATGACCCTTAAACTCTTGTATTTTGAACCTCTTGCATGTATTTAAAAGCGACTGTGACAATCTGTGGAGGAATGCATTTGACGACTTTTGAAAAAGCACCTTTTTAAAAGAAGCTCCTTTGACTTCTGCCATCAGGATATCGACTACCAGTATTTCGGCACAGTGGAGGACACCAGGGAGAAGCTGGACAGCATCACCTTTCGCACATCACAGATGGCCGAAATCGCGGCACAGATAGCTGGAAACATGGCCCTCCGGCTGGTCCACGACCGCCTGCTCAGTCTCGACATATCCAAGTACAACTCGCAGATCCGTGCCTTTGTGATTCAGATCAACCGACTCCTGTGGCAGCAGCAGAAGGTACGTCACGTCTCCGGGATGGGTGGGGGTGAGCAGGGAGACTTAAAAAACTAACAAACAAATATACGTAAAGTCACTGTAGCATTCTTCAGTCACTGTATGCCACACTGTGAGGTAATGCAAGTTGGGCCTTCCTGTGTCTGATGTCCCAGAGTGGGAACATACCCAAGACCCTTACATCCCAGTGGCTGATCAGCGCTGCTGGATCCTTCAGCCGCGCGTCGCACAACCTCATCAGCGACATCCAGAACAGCGACCTGGAAGATGTGGAAATGTGCCGGATCATCAACGACCGCATAATGAGGGTAAGGGGAGAGCAAAACCAGAATCCCACCCCAGCTGACGCATGGCGAGCAGGTGGAGATGCTGCAACTGGGTCTTTAATCCAGACTGGAAATAAGCCGCCCTTAGGAATTTCTGTTTAACTGGGAAGTATGGTTTTCAAGCGAAACGAAATGGATTTCACATGTAATTCTGTAATACTCAAGTGATAATTCTGTAATTAAATGGCTAACTGGAAAGGGAAAAAAGCAGGAAATGTATCACTAACTTCAGACACCTGGTGCATTTCACATACTATCCCAACACACCTGACAACAAGTAAGTTGCTCTGTATTTTGTATAAAAAAAACAGGGATTTGTGAGCAAATCTGTGTGTTGGAGTGACTGGATGAAGAAAAACTTTCAAACTTTCAACGTAAAAAGTTTCAGTTGTGCTGCTTCCTGATTCATGGAGCCATATCATTCTTATCCTAAAATAATTTTCTCCCTTTTAATTTTTTAAAGATGTTAAGGCTTATAATTAGGGCGACCTCTAGCGATCATGCAGTGGAACATAGTTTAATGCTTCAGCGTAGGTCTTAATTTCTGTCATTTTTCTTTCATCCTCCAGGTGGAGCACAACCTGCTCTCGCCATACGTTTCGCCAAAAGACACTCCGTTCCGCCACATCGTCCTAGGCTCTGGCTCGCATACGCTGTCGGACCTGGTAGACCACCTGAAAAAGCTGAACCAGGGTCCGCAATACTTTGACGGGGACTGGTTCCGTAACCAGTTCGCTCTGGCTACCTGGACCATTCAAGGCTGTGCCAACGCCCTGTCAGGGGAGGTGTGGGAGAAAGACAATCAGATCTAGACCTTTGGCTGCCCAGTACCTCAGAGCTAAACACCTTTGAAGTTTCCTGCTCAATCTGTCTACCTTCTGAGTATAATTTCCACGCAGTATTTTAAAATTCCAGGCTCAGATAGTAAAATCGTCTAAATATTTCAAAGGAAACAGGGCAATAAAATACACTGACCAGTGTTGAATCATAATATATAATATAGAGAGACAAACAAATTCTATCCTGAGATACCCTAAACGACAGTTACAGTTTTCTTGTAAAATTAAATATTCTATTAAGGGGGAATTGGGAAGATTTCTTTTTCGTCATTACCCAGATAAGAGTTTTTTTCTATTTTCAGGTATATTTTACAGACTAGTTTCTTTAGGTTGTGTTGTATTTTTTTATTTCTTGAGTTAAGAAGCCCAAAAGAAGTGCTGAAGTAGTAAATGATCCTGAAAACATTGAGAGTGAAACATCTTTACTGTTCCCGAAACGTACCTCGCAAAGACAAACCAGATGAAATCTACGTTGCCATCAGACTGGAATTTCATTTAAGAAAGCCCTTTATACCATGTTACAACTCGGCGATCTCAGTCTTAGCGGAGAATGTCTGTCTCTACTCTCCGAAGTTGGCACCGAGTTAATATTTGATGGTATTTATTTATCAGGGTTCACTATAAATGTTGTTTGGCGTCTTTTTAATGTGTAATTATCGGAAGCAGTGCCTTCCATAACTGACAGTTATACTGTCGACTTCACACAGCAGCATCTGCTACGAAATGAATTGTTTGCCAAAGGTCATTAACAGAAACGGCCGAAAAAGAGCATAATGTTTGGTTCGTATTAGGTTTGGTTTCAAAACTATAAATTAACCCTAAAGCCCCTTGCCGGTTAACTCTTCAGGCAACATAGGCGGCCACCTAGGGCACCATATTCGGAGGGGGCACTGACTTAGTCTGCCAGTTTCACTTTGCTTCGGACTGGAGGCGCTGAAGCTTGCTTGCATGGGTTTCGACCAGTACTGGTGATGGACACTGGTCTTTACAATCTAGGACGACATTTAAAAAATAACAATGAAGTAACAGGTCTCCATGCCGAAAACGGCTGTCTCTGATATTGGCTTTTTTGGTAAAAAAAAATATTTCTATCCATAAACGATTATCGGAAGCAGTGTCTTCCATAATGTGACAAAGAAGGTAGTTTTTGCCTACCAACGTGTATAAATCGGGGGCAGTGACCCTCATATTTCACTGTAGGGTGTATATAATTATCGGGGACAGTGTTTCCCATAACTGAGATATGCTTGAGCTACAGTGGCGCGAACCTTCGCCTCTGGTGCAGGACGGTGACAGAAAAACAAAATGCCGTCATTTTTATTTTATTTTTAGAGAACTTATGGAGAATACATTTCCGAACCATTTGCGGAATACGCCATCTGTCCGTAATGAGCCGATGACTAATAAATTGTGGATGTTTCCGGACTTAGAATCTAAAGATGTCAATTGCTTAATTTGTTTGAAATGTATGCATGTGTATTGTTGACTCTATTACAGTAGTTGTACATATGAAATGAACACAGCCTCGAAAATCCTTGAATTACATGGAATCTTCTCTATATCCTCGCACATTCTATTTCATATCGCATTTTTCTTGCGTTAATTCTAGGGTTGCTGCTCTCATTACTGAAATGATCATACTTTAAATGTCTGTATTTAATTGTTATAAAAATTCTATTTTTTCCTCCCCCCGGAAGATAAGTTGATGTTGAAAGCGGCAGTAGTAGCCTATATAGTTGTGCGGGGGCGACCTTAACTTACGTGGCTGGTTCATTTTGAAGTTGATCCTAAAGTAAATCTCTCAGATTTACTTGTATGAATAGCTTTTAAAACCTGGGACGTTCTGTAAGTGTTTTTTTTTCCTTTCACGTTGGACATTTTAAAGCGAACATAAATTTAAACCCGTTCCGTATACGCATTTCACTTGGTGCCTTTCGGGGGAGACTGAATTTCACTGTCGGGCACGAGCCCTTTCGCATAGTCACTGCTTGATTTGCAGAACAGAAGCAGCTGCATTATAAGACAAACCAAAAGAGCGGTATGACATACTAAGAAGATGTATTGAGTTAGGCAGTACGCTAGCTAATCTGAATGTAGTTAACTTAAACTCTTCTTATACCATTTTTTGTTTTGCGGCCTCATTTTCCAAAATCCAGTGAATGCGATGCGGATTGATTTCTAATAGTCTAATCAGTTGGCGCATACATCACGCATTTTAAGCAAACTGGTGAATGTTTATTTAAAATGCCCGACGGTTTTCTTTCTTTTCTGATGAATTGTTATAAATTTTTGTTTTATCAGTGTAAAAAAAATACATATATGACCGTACTGATATTTTGAATGGGGGAGGGGTGCATGTGATTCTTTCTGAATGTTTGTGTGCGTGAAAGTGTACCATTGCATTTGTTTTCGGCAATAAATATTTACACCGCTGTCAGTAGTTGTAATTATTCTCTCATCGGGTATTCTAAATTATAAATACATAAATTGTAAATACAACTTCAAGTATTAATAATTACGCATTTTACATGCAGACTAGTCTGGACTAATGAAATATGAGTGTTACCTCATCCAAATCTAAACGCTACTACATTTCTACATACTTGGTTGTAGTTTCGCGATGTGGCCACATTGCGGCAGCAGTGTTTAAGATACTGATGTATACATGTGCCACGCGTGGAAAACATTAAAGGAAAACGCCACAATTACAAAACATGCAATTAAAATTGGACATATAAAATTGGACACTTTCGATTATAGAGTATTCTTACAGCATTGGAATATAATATAAATTATTTTCAACCTCAATTAAACGGCGGGAAAGTAAAAAAAAAAACACTTTTTAGGAAAAACAAAACTCAGTTTGACATTGTCTTAGTGCACGGAGCTGCACGGGAAGCATAGCCTATCCCTTTAAGAGTGGGTTGACTTGCTGTATGTACAAAGGGAGAGAGCAATGAAGAGGTGACGCTGGTAACGTAATGCTCTACACGGGAAGAGCTCGTGCAGGCGAGGGATAAACGCAGCCGTGTCGGACAAAGCTTCCCCACCGGCCCTAGTTCAGTGTTATCTCTACAGTTTAGAGCTTTTTCTTGACGACTGTATCCAGAAGAAGAGGCGCAAAGACGGAGACGCGGTTTGCAATAAAGCGAAGACCCCCGAGGCTGGTCCATCTGCGGATCGGAAGGGCAGCTTTTGACAGGTACTTTCACAATCCTCGCTGTCACAGAAAGGATCGCATGCTGTTAGCCAGCTAGCCTGGTCTCTGCGCCCCATGCACGGATTTTGATTTGAAGTAACGTGGCAGAGGCCGTAAATTAACCGCTGAACTGCAGCCCCCAATTTTTAGGGCAATTGCTGGCGCACAATATACATGGGCATCTAATCCCACTCCTTCGCGGCTCGAGTCAAGCACGCTGAGTTCAAATATACATGGGTTAAAACTTTATTCCCTTCACTACATTTTTGGATAAGAATGAGGTTAATGTCGCAATGACCTGAGTGATGTCCGATGAGGTACATGTTGTTTCGACAGTGTGAATTATAATGCCGTTTTCTAGTCGTTGTATATGATAAGATCAGAGGAACACGTTTTAAATACGACTTTTACAGAGCATTTCCAGCACTTTCATTTGCACACCTGTCAGTCGACCTGCGCAATGCAGTTTCCCGTCCACGCTGCCCCACTACCCCCATCGTCGGGGCTTACTGAACCAAAACTGGGTGCCTGGCCGGACGGTGTCAGCTTCCAAAGCATTAATGTGCAGCGTGTTGCCGTTAAACCGCATTGGTGCGAAAGTCAATGTGAAATGGGGAATTGTATCTCGTAATCAGATCTCTGCATCCGATGGCAGGATGATGAAATGTTCATGTCACCTTCGTCCGGACGAAACCTAGCCCTTCCCTTTGCAATCAGACCACGTTACAGTGTAATCGATCACTGCACAGCATGGCTCTGATTGTCCTGTTTTTTCATCGATGTGACAGTATGAAAGTGTGATCCGTATAGACGCTATTATGGTTTACACATTTTGAATAAATTACCTGCTATAGGCCTATTGATTTAAAGTACTGCAGTTTTGAATCGGACTAGGATCCTTCCCTCGCCGTACGTTCCTTTGGGTAGGAACTTTATTTTGCCCTGTCGGGAGTGGCACCCGCTGCTCCGGGCTCGAGGTGTCCGCAGGCAAAATAGGAAGCGCTGGCAGAATAGCTGAGAGCTATGGGTACGGCGTCCTATTTCCAAAGGAATCACACTCCGTAAACATATAAAAGTATAGCCCGTATTAAGCCTAATGTCAGCTGTCCTGCCCTCACAGGGAACCGACTCGCCTGCGGTCGCCAGTTCCTCAGTTTATCTTTTTTTAATGGAAAGGCAGACTCCTTTGATGGTGTTTAAGATGATTTGAAAGCAGGGAGCAGTGGGTGCCCTTTATGGGTAATTCCCCAGTCCGGATTAACTAATGACCTACTATCTTGTGAGTTTCACACATGGGCATCACTAGACCCATTTTAGTGGGGCACGTGCCCCAGTGTTTATGTGCTGCGCGGCTGCGCCACAGTAAAATCTCATGTTCAGCTTTCAAAAAGCGTTATGGGTAAGTAAGGGGTACCTTCACCCCAGGCTTAGCAGGGAGAAGACCTGCCTTCGGGCTCGCGAGGCTGCAGCGCGCGCGCTTCCTACGTCAGCTCTGCACGCACCCGGCTAGCATTAGCGACGCGAACTGTTGAGGGGGGAGGAAACTAGATGCTTCAACCAGCAGAGCATGTATGGGACTGCTTGAAACAGACCACAAACACGACATGGCAGACTAAACCGCCCCCCCCCCGGGGATGCATAGATTTTTTTATGCTTGATTTAAAGCACAAAACCACCCTTCAGTGTTCCCCCTTACTACTTCATTTCATTTCTTATGTACTCAGTTCTAATTTTAAAGGAGACGACAACATTAACAACAATTCACCAGCAACGTGCCTTTGTGTGATTCGAGTCTTCAAGGGAGTTTT